GACGACGAACATTTGTGCTGGTTCTGAATAAATCAGAATTCACACAGAAACTGTTTGAATCATGATGTCTGTTTGAGTCATGATGTCACTTCCTGGTCTGTAACTTAATGCAATCTCTCACTCAGCATTTCTCTCATCTGTCTGTCTGAAAACATGAAGTGTGTTCCTGGAGTTTACTTCCTAGTTTATTCTGAGACAAATCAAGAGTATAAACTGTAGAGGATCTCCTCCCCAGACTCTCTGTGCTCCTCTATCAAATGAGGTGAAGGAGTTCAGAGGCCTGAGGAATGAAATGATGTCAAACAGACTTTGAAGGAGTTTGAATTAAAGACAGTGAAATGGTTCTAAAATGGCTGAAAACCTTTCTGTCCAGTATTCAACGACCTCAGAATGAGACCGTGTTGTGCAGCCTGTTTGGACCTGTCACAGTAGACGAAGTGCCGAATCTACAGTCACATCTTCTACAGACTTTATACTTGTGGTTTATATTCAACACATTCCTGCACTGACTGTACAGAACTTTGTGTTTTCTGTTGTAACTGTTTCTATTTTACAGCTAGTTATGTTTTATATGAGGTCTCTGACCTTTCACACTGTGTTTCTGTTAATGCACCTGAGGCAACTTGTACACGCAAACCTCAGTGAGCTGTAAAAGCACCTGCTCGTCATCACTCACCTGTTCTTCAATCAATTCAATCAATTTTATTTATAAAGCCCAATATCACAAATCACAATTTGCCTCACAGGGCTTTACAGCATACGACATCCCTCTGTCCTTATGACCCTCACAGCTGATCAGGAAAAACTCCCCAAAAAACCCTTTAACAGGGAAAAAAAACGGTAGAAACCTCAGGAAGAGCAACTGAGGAGGGATCCCTCTTCCAGGACGGACAGACGTGCAATAGATGTCGTACAGAACAGATCAGCATGATAAATTAACAGTAATCCGTATGACACAATGAGACAGAGAGAGAGAGAGAGATGCAGGTAATGACAGTAGCTTACAACAACATTATTGAAAGTAATAATATTATAGTTATAGTTCTGGCTACTGTGGTACAATATGTTGAAAGTATGTATTAATATCTGGCAGTATACATGTGTGACAATAGTCATATGTGTATAATAACAGTAGAAGTATGACTAATGACTAATGATGGCAGCAGCAGCAGGAGGCATCTGGCAGGACCACGGCAGCAGCACAACCACACACGTCACGATGTCCAGGCACCACTGTTCTTCCTCTCCTCATTGACTCCGCCTGCTCGTCGTCACTCACCTGTTCCTCCTCTCCTCATTGACTCCGCCTGCTCGTCGTCACTCACCTGTTCTTCCTCTCCTCATTGACTCCGCCTGCTCGTCGTCACTCACCTGTTCCTCCTCTCCTCATTGACTCCGCCTGCTCGTCGTCACTCACCTGTTCATCCTCTCCTCATTGACTCCGCCTGCTCGTCGTCACTCACCTGTTCCTCCTCTCCTCATCAGTTCCTCAGTATGTCAGCTGCTCCACTGTCAGTCACTCTCTGTCAGACTGTCTCTGAGCTGTGTCCCTCACAGTTGCAGTTTTTGATGTTTGTTTTCTGACTTTAATCTAGACTTTGACCCTGCCTGTAGTTTTTCAGATTCAGCTTCAGTCCGACCATCCTGATACTGACACTGTGTCGACTGCCTGTCTTGTCTTCTTGTATTTGTGCTCAGTAAAGACTCCTCTTCGTGAACCTGCCATCTGAGTCCTGCTCTTTGGATTTTTTGTCTTTGAACTGTGATGTTTGCAGAACACTCAGAATACCAGAATTAATGTTGGTGATTAAGAAGATAAAACTGTTTCAGATTCTGATTCAGGTTTTACTAACAGAACTAAGACTGTCTCCACTGAATTCATCAGTGTCCCAATGATCATGGCAGAGAGCCTGGACCCTGACACTGACGCAGCTAAATGGAACTCAACCATCAGTCATTTTATTATTTGCACCTGCTGTGAAATGAAGCGATGCTCTGACTCAGCGAGGGCATCTCTGTGACACCGAGCTCTTCGTCATGTTCACTCTGTCTGCAGAGTTTCGGCAGCCGACGTCCTCCACAGCAGCGTGCAGTGCACAGACAGACAGCAGGACGCTGAGTCCACCACAGCAACTCATTAAACATATGAACAGATTACAGATGATTCCTTCCATAAAACACCAAAAAAACTGCTTTACATTCAGTGAGTGTTTCATAAATCCAGATGGAGCTCATCACTAAGTGTTTGCCCACTAAACTCTAAATTAAACTGAAATTTGTTTCCACGCTTTTTTTTTTTTTAAAGGTCCAGTGTGTCAGATTCAGGAGGATTTAGTGACGTCTGTCAGTGAGGATTACAGATTACAGATTACAACCATCTGAAACTTCTCCTGGTTAGAATTCCTTCAGTGTTGATTGCTGAGGAGCTGAATTATCCTCAGAGGTCTCTTCCTCTCAGAAACACACACACCAACTGATTATCACCAGGAAACAGGTTCAAGTTTCACGATGCTGCCCATCACAGAGGGGTCGCCAACTATGATGACTGACATGAAAATGCAAAAACCTGAATGTCTCTATCTAGAGTCAGTGTTTGGTTTGTCCATTCTGGGCTACTGTAGAAACATGGCGGTGCAACATGGTGATCTCTGTAGAGGAGGACCTGCTCCCTGTGGAGATATAAACAGCTCATTCTGAGGGAACCAGAACACAACCATTAGATTATATATTTAAATCATTCTGGAGGTCTAACAGAGGACGCAGAACATTCTTCACACAGTGGACTCCTCATTTTTGGACTCAAACTCTTCAGACGCAGCCTCGTATGTTCACATCCAGCAAGCAATCACTGTGTGCACTCATGCAGCGTGGCACACAGGACATGGCAATAAAAAATGTCCCCTGGAACGAGTTACAGGCGGCTGCTGTTCACATCATGTTTCCCTTCAGATCACAGACAGTAAACATGTTTCAGTCAGGATCATTCCACCTCTATCTTTTTCTCTTTTAGCTGATTTAAATTAGATCAAACTCTTATTTCACCGCAGCGACATGTTGTCTCCTCGTATCTGAAAGAAACAGATTTCCAGGCAGAAGCAGACTCAACATCTTTAACTAGTATTTATCTGTGCAGTCAGAGTTTCAGCCGCAGAGCGTGATGCTGCAGACGAGCCGCTCCAACATGGATCCATTTCAGCCGGAGCTTCAAGTCCTTGGAAGCCGTCCAATCCCCCGTCAGTATGACTAAGCTGCAGACTTTTAGATTGGAGTGGGGATGTGCTCACCAGCTGTGAGATTAAGGGGAACTGATCGATGGCCTTTCTGATTGGCTCTCGCCGTGTCCCAGCAGCATCCAATCCCCTCGGTTCAGATGCTTTTCCTCAGTCCAGCCAAAACCAATTCTTCCACCATGCAGGGGCCAAATAAGATCGCTGACCTGAAGCTACGGGGCCACGCTCAGAGGGGCCGCCTCCCCCCATCTGTGCTCCTCATCACTCTGACAGAACTCAGACCAAGAAGAAGAGGAGGATGAAGATGTGGAGATTTTATCAGCTCTTGTTTGATTTAATGTGTATTCTCTTTGACATCATTGTCACTGAGTGCTGATGCCAGCCATGTGTGTGTGTGTGTGTGTGTGTGTGTGTGTGTGTGTGCGTCAGTCAAACTCAGCCGGACACTGTGACTTCCTGTTCAGTCTGCAGCGACACAGCTCCTCCATCTATTCAAAGCAAAATGCTGCTGCTGTCGCTCCAAATGTAAAATGCATGACTTCCTGTGCAGCCAAGGAGAGAAAATATCTTTATTATAGAGAGACTAAAATCTTCTCTGTGAAGAGTCAGTGGTCGTTTGTTTGTTTAAAGGCTGAAACATAAAAAGGTTTCTGCATCATGAGCAAAATGTTAAATTAAATCTGTTAATGTGACGTTTACTGAGTCCAGAAAGACGCCTGCAGAGAGTCATCCTTCATCTGCTGTGATGATGATGATGAGGAGGGTGATGATGATGATGATGAGGATGATGGTGATGATGGACATGAGGAGGCTGCAGTGCTTCTGCTGCACAAACGCACATTTATTTAACAGATTTCAAGCTGTCGTCTGTATGAAGTGTTCACATGATCAACAGTTTTTTTCTAGACCTCTGACAGTAGTTGTTTATATTCATTGATGGGATTCAGATTAAAGGCATATTATCCTAAAACAGTGCATATAATAAAGCCTCATCTCCACCAAACCCTTTCAGTACAGTACCTTTGGAACCAGCAGTGACCCTTCAGACATGGTACCTAGACCGAGCTGAATCACAGGGCAAAGCAGTATTTGATGGAAAAAGTCTTTAAAGCCATGAGTACCTGGCAGAAACTATTTGGTTGTAACACAGTCTTGTTTGCACCTTTATGTTCCTTCAGTTCAGTAGGTGGCGCTGTGGGGACAAACCCCTGGTGTCCTGTGTTGCAGCCTCCTGAGCTGCAGGACTGTTGGACTGAAGTCATTCAATGATTCTGGTGTCTGTGCTGCCCTCTGGTGGATCTATCAGGGACATGTCTTTGTCTCAGAGGACACAGTTCAGCACATTAACGGTGCATTTCTCACTTCTGCCTTCAGACCAGTTTATTTTTAGCAGCTCCACAGGAAATTCCTGGAAGGCTTTAGAGAAATGTTTCCTCTCACTGTCGTCTAATTAAAGCTGAGCTCAAAGTGAAAGCAGCAGCTTCTTATTAAACAATGTTTGACTTTAATTTCCTCTGGAACGTTATGTTTTTACAGCATTTACAGGAGGAACATTCGTCTACAAAACACTGCGTACAGAAACTTGATGTTCAGCATGGGTGGTTCGTTGTGTCTCTGCAGCGTCGTGGTGACGTAACAGGATCAGAGAGGAACAACAGCATCACATCAGTTCATGTCCTTCATCGGTGTGTGTCTGTGTTTTTATTCAAAAATATAAGTTTTATAAAGGCGAGATGTTTCTTCAGTCACAGATTCTGTTCAAACACCAAATAAATACAGTAACATTTAATATGTACACACACACATATATATCAGATGAGATGCTTACAGACATGATCAGATAGATTAATGTGAATGATGCATTTAGTCATGAGTAACATATAACAGAGAGTATGACAGATTATAATCAACAGGAACTGAATATAAACAAACACTGTGGCAAAACAAGACGCAGTGGGTCACATCTTTTATATCTCATATATCTTGACATGTGTGCCCACTGACAAAGCGGCTGTATTTGATGAGAACGTGTTGGACTCAGGTGCAGTGCACAGTGTCCACGGCTAACATTAGCTGGGCAGTGGGCGCCATGTTTACGCATGTTGACGCAGCTCGCCGTCTGTATGTCAGCAAAAGTATCAGAAAGTAAAATAAAGACAAAACAGTAAAATGTCTCTACTGTACGTCTAAATGGACAGAGCTTTGAAATGTGGTGCTGAAGACTCACAGAGTCAACGCAGCTCCGGACTGAAAGGAAACTTCTCTTGTATTTAACGTCCGGTCACTTGGTTTGTTGACGGTAATAGGTGATGAACGAAAAAACGCAAAATGAACATAAACTGATGTCCAATAACTTAAACCACTGACTGGGATGATTAAAGGAAACATGTCACTATCTGATCATCAAGGACGGAGGAGAAACTGATTACAGCCAGTCAAAGCTTCCCAGTCTGAAACCAGTCTGAAACCAGTCTGAGGTTTCATGTGTAAAACTACAGCAATGAACCAGTCAGATAGAAACTGTTTCAGACCTCAGCGGTAAGATTTCTTATCCTGCTCAGCTGTGTCAGCTGTCATCTTTGGCACTGATACGTTACATGGTTCATATCTGATATTCTGATATTTTTAGAGATTTCATTTTGACAGTTTTAGGCCACAGTTTTGAAAATATTTGCTTGTATTTAAAAAGTGTAGCATGTGTTATAAAGGCCACACACACCCGAGGTACACTTGAGTTAACTGACACTTCCCAGCTTCACAGCTTTGATTCAGCCTTTTCTCTTTCTCTTATTGGTGCACATAATTTAATGACACGATGTAATTACCAGCGTCACTCCACCAAACTTCAACCTGAGCAGAGCTCTCATTAAAGAATATGGTTAAAGTTAAAGTGTTGTGAGGACACCATGAATGACATCACACCCTCTCTGTGTGAGGACACCATGCATGACATCACACAGGACGCCATCTCTGTGTGAGGCACAGCTGAAGAACTTGGTAACATGAGGTTAATTTTGTGAGATGCTGAGGTAACAAAACTACTTGGTTAGGAAAAAGACCGTAAAAGATCACATCTGGGTTAAAACATGGACATTTGTTACATAACAATACGTTCAAACAACACTGATTTTTAGTTTCATGTGGGACACAAACTGAGGTCTCCTGGGTGAAAGTCTTGTTTTGTTTGACCTGTCCACTGACACAGACTTTCTCATTCTTTCACCCAGCTGGACACCAACATCGTTAGATGCTGATATGTGGTTAGCTTTAGGTTGTAATGTCAGGTTCAATGTCAGGACGACTAATGCCAACATCAATATGATGTAGAACACTGACGACAGATGACGCTGATATTTTGTTGTTTTGTGTTGTTACGTAGCCAAAATCTAGCATCTTCCAAACGTCTCATGCTGACGTCATCTTGACGTATAAGAACGACATTTAGTCGTAAGGTGTGAAGAACAAAACCAAACATCCACATAATGTGAAATTCTAAATTTATTCAATAACTTAAATATCATCAACCTGATTTACATTTCAACCAAATTTTATCATCTGTCCAACGAAAGAGTCCAACGTCTTTCTGACATCATAGTGACGTCCGGTGCCAGCTGGGATTTGCTCTCAGCATAAAGTTTTCAAATGTCAGTCATGTGTTTTATAAAAATGCTAAAGGGTGTCTTTGGTGTCAATATCAAAGTGTTGGTATTTGTTCATCTGGGGATGAGAACGGAGAGCGTTCTGCTGTGACCTCTTCTTAATTAATCCTTTCTAAATATCTCTGTAAACTCAAAGTAGAGAAAAATGTTGAGGGCGAAACCAGAGCAACAAAAAACCAAAGATGTGAAAAAGACAAATATTTGTCTGTAAATTTTGACCCCATCAGATCCGTCCCACCGTCCGCTTATTTTGCTCTCAGTGTGAATGTGACATCACTGTTCAGACTGACAAACTAAAACAGTTTCAGACCTCTGGACCAGTTTCCTTTAACTGGGCTCCAGATGCAGTAATCCCAGTCCGTCCAGCTGACCTCACTGGGACCGTCACACAGACTTCCTCCTCTTCCCAAACACATTGTTGATGAGCTTGGCCATGGACTTGGAGCCGCTGTAGCGCCGGCGGTCCGCTCTGTACTTGAGGTGCTCCATCACCTGTCGGATGAGTTGGGTGAAGAGGTTGGCGATGTCCTGGTAGCTCTCGGCAGCGGACACCTCCTGGAAATGACAGCAGTTCTCCTGAGCCAGGCTGCGGCCCTCGTCCTCGCGGACCTGTCGGGCGTGACACAGGTCCTGTTTGTTTCCCACCAGACACACAGGAACCTCCGTCTCCCTGGAGACAGAGACAGATGTCAGTGAGGACAGATCATGTGGAGACAGAGACACCTCAGTAAGGACACATCACTGTTAAAATCCTTAAAGTACTGTTTCCAAAACAAGACGAGCAACGAGCCAAATCTAGTTCCTAAAAACACCATTAAAATTGTTCTGTTTCTGTTTTATCAAATTAAATTTGACTAACACAAGTAAACACAGATGAGTCCATTCTGTCCCGTCCTGATCTCCATCTAGAGTTACTCATCTACATTAATGCGGACACACGTGTCACTGACTGAATAAATCTCCTCCCTGTTTGGCACATGAGCGACAGCCTAATGGATGTTTGGTGCGTTTCTCCTGCAGACCAAATGTCTGTAGGTTTGATCATCTCACTGATCGTCATCAATCATTCATCAGTCGACTCTCAACATTCGTCGCATTCAGAGCAACATGAAGATCCTCATTCAGCTTCAGAGGAAACACAGCAAAGATACTCTGCGCCTGTTTTCTCGCAGTCTTTACAGCATGTTCAGGTGATACAGTGACTGTGAATCAACTGTTAGCATTATATTTCCCATCAATAAAAGCATTTGACTTTTAGTTTTGATTATTTGGATGTCTGAACTGTAACTTAAGGACTTCATGCTGAGTAAAACAGAAAGTTAACACTTAAAGACACTGTTTTAAAACCATTTAGATAAACTCAAAATGTCGTTAATACCGAGCTGAAAACAAGACAGACCTCAGTCAGGAAGTTTTGTTTTAACTGAAATAAATTAAGTCTTAACGCAGTACGATCCCTCAGTCACAGCATGTTTAGGTAGTTATTTATCGTAACACCTCAAAACTTGTGTAAAGAGTTTGTAATGAGAGGCCAACAGCTGCTCTGATCCACGACGTCTCAGTTTCCTGCAACCCATCCGCGGCACCCTGTCATTTTGTCTCCACGTTATAATGAAATAACCTCACTGTGTTTCTGACCCTTTGCAGTTGTCCATGCGCGCCTCTTTGATCTGCTGCAGGATGTTCTTGGCGTTGATGAAGGAAGTGCGGTCGCTGATGTTGTACACCACCACGAAGCCGTCTGCCCAGTCCACCGGTTCCTCCAGGATACACCTGGCCTCTGAGCTCTGGCAAGGACAACACATGACTTTATTTTGGTATTGAGCAAATTAAATTCAGGTAGTATGTATATAGGTTCCTGTATGAGCTGTGGCTCAGAGTGTGTCATCCACCAATCAGAAGCTCCACCAGTCCACAAACGGCTCCTGATGGCTGCTCCATCAGTGTGTGAGTGTGTGTGAATGAGTAGCAGGTGGCACCATGCACGGAGGCCTGGGCCACCAGTGTGTGACTGTGAATGGGTGAATGTGACATGTAATGTAAAAGGGCTTTGAGTGGTATGAAGACTAGAAAGGAGCTGTACGAGTGCAGGTCCATTTACTTGTTTTTACTGGGACAGATTCAACCAGAGAGAATTAGTCGAAGTAAATGTTCTTTACTTTTAGTGGATGTTAACTAATTAACAGCTTCAGATCGACAGGCATCATTGGTTCATTGACAGTTTAGTAGTTTCGGTCCCTGTCAGCTCTGGTTTGATTAAATAAAACTCAATTTGACTTGACCCCAAAATATCATATTAATTTATTTGACTCAAAGAAAAACAAACTGTGTAAAGTTCCAAATGTAAGGTATTATATACAACAGGTTTAAGCCAAGTATGCCAATACAGATAATGTACTTTTTATGACTATGAGTATCATACGAGTAAAATGTGTCTTTATCTGTACTCATTTATATCACAGTATATACAGTGCCTATAAAGTCTTCACAACCCTTGGAAGTTTTCAGATTTCTTTACTTTACAACATTGAATCAAATGTTTTATGATTTTGTGCTCGTAAATAAGCCCTTAAACCTGTCAAACACTGCTGGAGACATGACAGTTTGGAAGTCTGCACACATTATTTGTCTAAATGAAATTTTTATGCCTTAATTCACCTTGATTCTTATTTCTGACACATGAATTATTAATTATTATTAATCATGACTAAAAGTTGACTAAAATGTTTTGAATTTTCGTCGACTAAAACTGTGAATAATAATGACTAAAATGTGACTAAAACTAATAAACATTTTTTTCTCAAGACTAAAAGTAAATCTAAAATAGCTGTAAGAACTCAACTGATCACAGTGGAACAGTTTTAACACAAAATCCATGTTTTCAGTGGCAGATTGTCACGACACGTCACAGCAATGTGTCCTGATGTAGAAAATAACAGACTTCATCTCCGTCTCATTCGTTACTTTCTCTACGGACTCTTTGTCAGGTTGAGCTGTATTTATGTTTCATTAACGACATATTAGAAAGTTATTCACAGTGGGATTTCTCACAGTCCTCATTACACCTGATCCTATAAATACACCACTGTGTGTTACTGTTGTCCTTCTGTCAGAGCTATTTCTACTGTGACCAACAGCAGCTGCAGAGCAAGGGGAGGACGTCTGAGTGACCTTGAGGAGAAATAAACAGCGTAGGAGCGACACGAGGCCCGAGGACATGTCTGTAAAAACTCACTTATCCCTTTCTCTTTACTGACCATGGTTTCTTTCTGCAGTGCAGGTCAGGACATCGACTCATGAAAGGACGGCTTTACAGTGAGTGTAACCAGCAAAGACAATGAGCGTCTCTTGTTCTGCTGAGTTTTCCAATAAAATACAAACTGTGCAGTAAAAGGCCTCTCACCTCTTTGGTCCGGCTGAAGGAGAGGTACGCAGGTTATATGGATCTGTTCTTCAAAGATACACATCGCCTCAGGACACTCTCATAAACCTGCTGGGTTTAACTTTAACGTGCCGTACAGATCGTACATGTGCTGACACAGAGGTTACTGTCTGAGTGGGATTCATTCAAGGTCAGGGACTGAAAACTGACATGACTGTAGTGTTGTTCAGTAAAATACTTTAATAATGATCATATTTTCACCTCAGCTGAAAGATCTTTGATGGATCCACAAACATCTTTCCTGCTTCAGCTTCAAAAACTTTTCCAACCTCTGAATATACATTTAAACATCAAGCTAAAAACAGAAGAGTTTCTGTTTGTGACATTTTGGTTTTCTGATGATTTATTGACATGTTTTTGCAGCAGTGACTTTGCCGTACCTGAAGCTAATGACTGTCATAAGTCAAATAAAATGCTGGAGTATGAAATGTAACTTCCATATGGATAGACAGCTCATGGCTGAAACGTAGGAGGAAACCAAAAACATAAACAGGAAAGTTTTTATTCTACTGCTACTCTGCTTTTCTCTACAGTTAAGCATCTGAATGTTTGGATCAGTTAGTAAGTGTGTTAGTGATGAGTTGTACCTGAGAGCAGGGGTCAAACACCTCCAGATTCAGCTGCCTGCCGTCGATCGACAGCCTTTTATGGTACAGAGAGTCTGTGACAGGGATCAGAAACAGAAACATAAATTAAGAACACTGATAAAATACTGACTGATGGTGTAAAATATAAATCTCTCTGTATATTTCGCATTGTGTGACATTCAAGTTGATTTGCTTCTGTCATGTGTTTTGTTGAGACCTTTTTCACTCCCGTCTCTAAAGTTGGACTCAGTTTATTTTGCAGAGCTGAACTGATCAATATTTTGTATTAGCATTGAGTAAATGACTGTGTATTGAGAAAGGTGACAAACTCGTCACATGTCCACGTTTGGTCATGGACTTTCCACGTCCACATATGACGTCCAAGGTACCCTGGGTGTGTTGGTTGTTGACGTTCTGGGACGCCGTGTCAACTTCAGCCTGTTACATGCATTGTCTGTTTTCAAAATACACTTCTGTTTTCACAGGAAATGTACAGTTTGCATACAGTCTCTTTCAAAATAAAAGCACTACGTCGGTACAACACCACCAACTGATGTTTTTTTCCTTCAACAACACACACACGTGGTTACGTTTAGCCAACACACACACGTGGTTACGTTTAGCCAACACACACACGTGGTTACGTTTAGCCAACACACACACGTGGTTACGTTTAGCCAACACACACACACGTGGTTACGTTTAGCCAACACACACACGTGGATACGTTTAGCCAACACACACACATGGTTACGTTTAGCCGACACACACGTGGTTATGTTTAGCCAACACACACACATGGTTACGTTTAGCCGACACACACGTGGTTACGTTTAGCCAACACACACACGTGGTTACGTTTAGCCAACACACACACACGTGGTTACGTTTAGCCAACACACACACACACGTGGTTACGTTTAGCCAACACACACACATGGTTACGTTTAGCCAACACACACACACGTGGTTACGTTTAGCCAACCCACACACATGGTTACGTTTAGCCAACACACACACATGGTTACGTTTAGCCAACAACCACCGGGCACCATTAAACAATAACGGGAGATGGCTGCGTGTCCTGCCGATGTGAAAGGACAGCTTTTGTCATTGGTGAAAATTACTGCCCAAGTGCTGGTTGACTGCCTCAGCGTTATGCTTTAATTAGATAAAATCATGAAAGAGAGACAGACGTGCACCACAAGAAGCTGAAATATATAATTTACTGTTTAAATCTTTTCACAGCTGTAATTATATTCTGGATCATTAATCTTATGAATGCTTAGGTGAAATTAAAGCACTAAGTGATGAGATAACAACATCCCTGACGTGTGGAGATAAACTCTGCAGGACCAAAAACTCTCATCACAATCCACTGTCAGCAGATGTGGAAACACTTACTGGCATTAGAGGCATATTCACCGATGAAGCGTCTGGTCAGAAAGCGTACGAGGACAGCTGGAGGAAACAGACAGAATGAGTCATGGCATCGCAACACTCTCATCTCTCACAGGTGGCAGCAGCGAGGGTTAAATGACCCTTCATTCACTCCTGCAGGCGCAGCGCTGTGCAGCAGCCTCTCAGACTGCAGCGCTGAAACTGTAGCCTCTCATGAAAGAGGCTGTTTGGCTTTGCTGGAAGGTCTGTGAGCATATTTGGCACGATGAATGGATTTATTTCCTCCTGTGCTTCGCCTCCACACTCACAGCTACACATAAAACACATGAGTTTTGGCCCCACAGACAATCAGTTTCTATTATGGGCTCAAGCTGTGGTCACGGGCCTCTGACGGGGTAATACAGAGGTTATACAGAGGTTGTACAGAGATTATACAGAGGTTGTACAGAGGTTACAGTAAGAGACACACAAATATAAATATGGCCTAAAAAGCTACTCATGCATGCTGGCATACGGAGCGTACTGTCTCCATCCCAGAATGTAATTTCCTTAAGTCAATGTTGGTACACTGAGAGGAAGGTGCACATTCCCTCTCTCTCAGATGATCAACATTTATACAAGTTTTGATGTTTGAGAAACACTCGTTCACTTGTGTTTGGTGCTTGTGTTAAAGGAGTACCTCAGTGACCATGTGTACATCAGTGATTCACTAAGTGAAGAATCTAGAAAGGGAGGACATTCTTGATGAAGTGAAGTCGGTCACAAAAACAGCTGAACTACATCAAAACATCAGTTTACAAACTCTGACAGAACTCAGTTTAGTCAAAGTCTCAGTGGTCCCCAGTGACTTCAGTTATCAAGAGTTTCCTCAGGTGTTTGACTCTGTGTTCACCAGACATGTGACTGACATTCAGATGGTCCTTTGGGAGGTGAAGTAACGAGTGTAACCCTGGCCATGTTGGACATCATTAGACCCAGTGTGTTATATTTTGGGAGCAATCCCTGATGGAGCTGTAGATAAGAGAAAAGTTTACTTGCTGCATATCTTCTTATTTATCGGTGGCAAAGCATGAGAACTTTATCTTGGCCCAAACGGCTGCCTCCTAGCCGACAGGTTCATGAAAACATAAAAGCAAACTCCACAAAAAGACAAACAAGTTTTTAAATCTTCAGGCTCCTGTAATTATTTCAGATTACCAAAAGTGCTGCACTGATTTCATTATAAATTGGCCCAAACTGATCTGTTTATTTTACTGTATTTTTATTTTTGTTTATTTTATTCCATTAAGTTATTTTTTGGAGCTTTTTTTTTACACGTTTCATGATTTATCATTTGTATGTTTATTTACTGAACTCTGAATAGTGACTGTATAATTCAAATTTGAAAAAACATTTTGTTAAAAAAGATAAAGAAATGCACCTTTCCTTTAAAATGTGTCTGTGGGTCTATTTTATTCTGCTGTAATGTTTGTTTGTTGCAAAGAAGGAAATGTTTACTAGTTTATCAGCTTCACTAACATTATGTTTGTTTGGTTTTACCTCTGGAGAGACAGAGGAATATTTGATCAGTATTTTTTGTCAAAGAAAACTATTCAGCTCTTAATGAGGATGGATTGATTCCACCTGGGTCACAGATTATTAATCTAGAGATCCTCCCTGATTGGCCGCAGACAGCAGGTGACAGCAGGTATAAAAGGTTTGGAAGGCAACAAACAGGTCGGTGTTTTTTACGTCTGTCTGCAGATCACGCTGAGTGAGAAACATAATGACTGTTTCTGTTTCTGCTTCTTAGAGTCGGTCTGAATTTTATTTAATTTTCAAACGTGTGTTTAGTGATATTTGCAAAGCAGTGTAAAGAAACACAGCAACAGAAAAAACACAAAGCAAAACTTAAGACAGAAAAGGATAAAAGAAGACACATAAATTATCCCACAGGTTCCAGAGTCCTGTCATGTGATATAATGACACAGTTCACCTGTGAAACCATCAGCCATTCACTTTAATTCTTCAATCAAACTAACAAGTTGTTGCCAGATTTTCTTAACAAGTTTGTCTTTGTTTGACATCTGATTTTCTCCGAATGTAAAACATGACCTGATTCATTCAGTCACAAATCAAACACTGGGAGCTTCTCAGACTGTGTGGACAGAGAGACAACCTGAGCTTCACTGGGGGGACTACCAATGTAAATCAGCCCCTGGCTGCAGTTGGGTGCATCTACATTTTCTTTTTTCTTCTCTTTAAAAGGAATGTTTATTGATGTACACTGTCCCTTCTTAAACAAATAAACGTTATTGTATTCATACCTGTCCTTCAGTCTACCTGGGACAACCAGCCCAAACAGTGTGGCTAAAGGTGCAGGGGGAAACTTTTATGTATTTCTTTTTCAATCTGAAAATCAAAGCCTGCAGCAGGTCCATACTTCCCTCTCACTCTACCAATCATCCTCCAGTCCATCACAAACATTCTTTTTTTTTTTTTTTTTATCTTTCTTTGTTTTTAACCTGTAGCACTTTGAGATCTTATGATGAAAAGGACATTATAAATAAAATGTATCATTATTATTATTATTATTATTATTATTGTTATTATTATTACATTCTGGAAAATGCAAACTTAAAGTCACAGCAGCAGTTCTTCTGCTTCCTTTTTACATTAACAGTTAATTAAGAGAACAAAACAAGACAATGAGACGCATGCATTTAAAGCAACAAGCAGAAAAACATAATAAATGGACACAGACACACACACACACACACACACACACATACACACACAACGTCCACAGTAACAGCTCTGCTTCACTGCCAGACAGCCAGAACAGAAACATCCCATTGTGTTATGAAGCTTGAATGCAGCTCAGAGACAGTCAATCCAAACCAGGAGCTCAGAGTCGGTCAGTCTGAACCAGGAGCTCAGAGACGGTCAGTCACAGAGACGGTCAGTCCGAACCAGGAGCTCAGAGTCGGTCAGTCTGAACCAGGAACACAGAGACGGTCAGTCCAAACCAGGAGCTCAGAGATGGTCAGTCACAGAGATGGTCAGTCCAAACCAGGAGCTCAGAGACGGTCAGTCACAGAGATGGTCAGTCCAAACCAGGAGCTCAGAGACGGTCAGTCACAGAGATGGTCAGTCCAAACCAGGAGCTCAGAGATGGTCAGTCACAGAGACGGTCAGTCCAAACCAGGAGCACAGAGATGGTCAGGCACAGAGACGGTCAGTCCAAACCAGGAGCTCAGAGACGGTCAGTCACAGAGACGGTCAGTCCGAACCAGGAGCTCAGAGTCGGTCAGTCTGAACCAGGAACACAGAGACGGTCAATCCAAACCAGGAGCTCAGAGACGGTCAGTCACAGAGACGGTCAGTCCGAACCAGGAACACAGAGACGGTCAGTCCAAACCAGGAGCTCAGAGACGGTCAGTCACAGAGACGGTCAGTCCGAACCAGGAGCTCAGAGTCGGTCAGTCTGAACCAGGAACACAGAGACGGTCAGTCCAAACCAGGAGCTCAGAGACGGTCAGTCACAGAGACGGTCAGTCCGAACCAGGAGCTCAGAGTCGGTCAGTCTGAACCAGGAACACAGAGACGGTCAGTCCAAACCAGGAGCTCAGAGACGGTCAGTCACAGAGACGGTCAGTCCGAACCAGGAGCTCAGAGTCGGTCAGTCTGAACCAGGAACACAGAGACGGTCAGTCCAAACCAGGAGCTCAGAGACGGTCAGTCACAGAGACGGTCAGTCCAAACCAGGAGCTCAGAGTCGGTCAGTCTGAACCAGGAACACAGAGACGGTCAATCCAAACCAGGAGCTCAGAGACGGTCAGTCACAGAGACGGTCAGTCCGAACCAGGAGCTCAGAGACGGTCAGTCCAAACCAGGAGCTCAGAGTCGGTCATTCCAAACCAGGAGCTCAGAGTCGGTCAGTCCGAACCAGGAGCACAGAGACGGTCAGTCCGAACCAGGAACACAGAGACGGTCAGTCCGAACCAGGAGCTCAGAGACTGAACAGTGAAACACAAACACCTCCTCTGCCTCAACAACAGTTTTCACTGCAGGTTAAAAATAAAATGTGGAATGTGCCTCACGGTGCAGATTTACCGTACGATCACATCAACTGCTGCGAAATAAGCTGCTGCAGTTTTCAGCCTCAAACACGGATCTTTTTCAGATATTACTGATGTGAACAGAGTGAGTGGCTCCAAATGTCGGTGCAGTACAGCTCAGCCACAGGAAACAGCTTCATTACAACATAAACCAAACCAGCAGCAGGAACTGAAGCTCAGCTGAAGGGACCGACTCCTCAGTGTACGACCTGTTTACCAACCAGAAATCAGCACCGTGACAGATTAGCTTTACTCTAACAAAGGCTGAGACTCTCTGAAGGCATTAATAATGTCTTTATTTCAGTTCAGTCTCAGTGAATGGAGCCAGTTATGTAACATGCCACCAAAGGCCAGTGAAAATAAAAGCTCCAGTGTTTTAACCTGAAAATCAGCCAAAAATGAAAACATATTCTATAATTTCCACAGTCAGGCTTCAACCTCACCATTGGTCGACATGGGTCAAAGTTTCTCCCATCAAGTCTGTTTTTATAGATCACAACTTCTGTGTGAAGTGGCATGCACCTCTTTCAGGCCTTGTTTTGTGCATACGCAGTGTCTATAAATGAACCCAGGCCTGCAGGAGGAGTGCTGGGCTTTGGAGACAGTTTCTGTGGTGGCCAAACAGTGGCACAGTAACTTCTGTCAGGTGCCCCGTGGGCCCAAAAGACTTTTTCCCAGAGACTTACATTGGGAAAGAGACGTCATGATTTAAATATTTAATCACCACTCAAGTAAGTGGAGCGTTAAACAGGAAGTCCACTGCTCAGCTGCACTAAGTCTCTAACGCGCCTGCTCTGTGGGCCCCATGCACATGAAAAGTTCTGTGGTTGATCTTTAACTGAGCTCAAGAACAAAAGTTTACCCACTGACTTAAATCACTGATAGTACAAGTTATTATATTTACATGATAAATAGATTTAGATCTATTATTAAAACACATTTCAAACCACCTGCGTTTCAGTTTGAGACTCAGGATCATTCTGAACAACTCTCACCTGGACCCATCTGACCCTGACGACACACATGATGGACAGGTGGGTCAGCGACTCACAGGTGACCTCAGTGACTCTGTCAGGGTTCACACCCACACAGAGGTTCAATCCTGCAGCTCTGCACCAGTCTGTTAGAGCTGAGGAAGCCTCGTGGATGAGACGTGACACGTCTTCATGAAACTAAAGCAGATCCAGCTGTCTATGACGCAGCACTTAGGACTGAGTCTGAACGCTTCACCAATGATCAGGGGCTCCGAAAACAAAATCCAGAGTCCAGAGAGATGGAAATGACGGGAGCAGAGAGGTGACGGACAGGTGTCTGGAGAAAAGAAATGTATTTCCCCGTTAAAGGGTTTTTTTGGGGGAGTTTTTCCTGATCAGCTGTGAGGGTCATAAGGACAGAGGGATGTCGTATGCTGTAAAGCCCTGTGAGGCAAATTGTGATTTGTGATATTGGGCTTTATAAATAAAATTGATTGATTGATTGATTGATTGATTGATTGATTGATATAGGGATCAGTTTTAAAGTGTGAAGTTAAGACACAGGTAAATGAACTGCACCTGTACAGATCCTTCCACGTCTGCCGACCACTCAGAGAACTTTTACACCACGTCACGTTGGCACATTCACACACACTTTTACATTGTTGTAAATTAAATATATGTATAAAATAATATAATTTAGCTTCTCCCTTAAACTCTGATGTCTTGTTGACCAACAGATTCATCAGTAATTATAATAATCTAATTGTTAGTTGGGGCCCTGACGTGTGACGCCCGCCAGCTTTTCAGGTTCTGTTCAACAGGAAACTCATCATTAAGATGTTATATGAAAGTTATTTGAAGAGTTTTCTGACAGTCAGCTTCACTTATTCACCACCTGTTCAGGTATTTTTACTCAAATAAATGTTGACGAGTCTGAAACTGTTTTAATGTGCTGAATGAAAAAGCTTCTGGAGCCTAAAACTGTGATTTATTTATCTGTGGAAGAAGAACTCATTTCTTAAAAGTAACCGAATTCTGATGAAAGTAAAAGTCCTGCATTTAAAATTGTACTTAAGTAAAGGTTCAAAAGTATCAACATTAAAATACACTTAAAGCACCGACAGTCAAAGAACACATGATGCAGAATATATTCTTTATAATATCAGTGGATTATAATCATGACTGCACCGATGCTGCAGCTGCTGAAGGTGGAGATTATTTCACCCACTTTACAAACTGTTTGTTTCATCTACAAACAAACATCAGAATGTTTTTGTTGATTTATATTTTATAGCCTATAAACAATATAAATCTGCAGACGTCCAAAGTATAAAGAAGCATAAATGGAAACATTCAAGCAAAGCATCAAAGCAGTATCTGAGTGAATGCAGATAGTGAGTGGATTCATTCTGCACCATAAATTATCATCACTTTAAAACACTATGACAGAAAAAGAGACACAGTAAACAGGTTTATTCTCTCAGTAGAATCTGTTGTGAGATAAATGAACCTCCTCTGCAGCCTCTCACCTGATTTCCCAGCCCCCTGACTCCCCAGCAGAGCCAGTTTGATGTCGTTCATGCTGCTGGCCTCCGTCTGGTGTCTGTGTCAGGTATCTGTGTCTGGTCTCTGTGTGAACGTCTGCAGACTGAAGTCTCTGTACGGTCCAGGCTGGACGAAGGACAGGACTGCCCCCTCTCCTCCTCCTCCTCCTCCTCCTCCTCCTCCTCACAGGGCTGGTATAGGTTTATGAAGCTCGACAGAGGGAGAGGAGGGAAAACAAGCGCTCCCTCCTCCTCTGCTCTGTTATTCTCTCTGTTTTCTCTCTCTGTCTCTCCTCTGTCTGTTTTCCTTCCTTTCCTCCTCTGCTCATATATCTCTCCTCTCTGCCTCCACCCCTCCTACACAGAGGTCACTCAGAGGTCACGGCTGACTGAACCTGTGTTGTTGTTTCGACTCTGACTGTAATCAGCTGACACCTACAGACCAGTGTAATTCTTCATACTGTGATGTCACAGAGAGGAGACAGACAGGAACACATGACAGATATAAATGAGCTCACTAATGAAACTCAGAAATTATGTTTTAGAGACAAAACAAAATGTTTTTCATGAACGCATCTCGCAAAGTTCACAGAGAGAGCAGAGGTGATCTCACCTGCTCTGAAAAGTGTCTTAAACCTGTGTTCTCCCTGATGGCCAGCAGGGGGCGACTCCACCGGCTGCAGAAAGAAGTGCGACAGTACAGAGGACTACGAGAAAATGACCCGACCTCTGACTTGTCTTGTTAACTCAGTGAATTTCACTTTCAGTTCTTCTTCAACACATCATGATGTTCATTTAGTAAACTTTGGTCTCATCTGGAGTAAAAAAGACGATAAAGCAGGATATGCTTTAGGGCGTGATTAACTTATGATTGACAGGTTTCTGCCGCAGCACTGGCCTCCGGTTCTCAGTCAGATCCACCCCTCACTTCTCCAAAGCTCCGCCCCTCGTCCTGATACAACCCGGCCTCACTCCCACCTCGTCAGATACCAAGGCTTGATCAGTGGCCCATCGGCATCAGACAGCGCCATACAGAGGCACCTTTGTTGACGCTCCAGGCCGTCACATCCTCACTGTGACCTCGTCACATGTCCACGTTTGGTCATGGACTTTCCACGTCCACATATGACGTCCAAGGTACCCTGGGTGTGTTGGTTGTTGACGTTCTGGGACGCCGTGTCAACTTCAGCCTGTTACATGCATTGTCTGTTTTCAAAATACACTTCTGTTTTCACAGGAAATGTACAGTTTGATACAGTCTCTTTCAAAATAAAAGCACTACGACGGTACAACACTGCCAACTGAGGTTTTTTTCCACGTGGTTAAGGTTAGCCAACACACACATGTGGTTGGGTTTAGGAAAAAAGAACAGGGTTTGGCCTTACAATCTTACAGTAAGTGAACACTGGCTTCCTTGGACTTGGACTTTTGCCTCCGCAACTTGTGTTGTTGTCCCAAAGTGTTTCCCTCTGAGGCCGTTTAAACAATAACAGCGACGGACCCCATATCAAAACAACTTGAAAGGATGGCTTTTTTTCTCTGACACCAGAAGTCACCGACCAAACACCAATATTCGATGACTTCAGAGTGAGACCGGTTGTCCCGGCAACTGCCGTAGAATAAAGTAAAGAGTGCGGAAGAACAAAGCGAGTTTAAATCAATATTACACTGAAACCTGCTGCGCTTATTTAACCACGTGTCGCACTCAGGATGCGAACACCAGTCTCAAAGTCCTGCACAAAATTATAACTTAACTCCCCATAATTACAAATTCAGGTGAGTATTTTTTATCATTTACAACTTTTCATATGTTTTTTTCATTTGTTTCTCGACAGTATTGAGTTTCCATATGTTGCGTCTTTGTCATTTGGAGTCATCGTCGACCTCTTTGTGATAAGATCTGGAAAATTCTCTCTGACTGTTAATAATATTCCAGCTTCAAGGAAAATCATTTTATTCAAATTGAATCGATGTATTTTCATGAAGAGAAAGTCAGAGATATGATGAGGAAAACATTTGGATGATTTTGGTTTCGTATTAATGAACCAAACAGTCGCAGCTCAGCAAACTGATGCAGTAAAAGCTGAAGCTCAGAGCGCCGTGTCGACATCCAGCACTGAAACCACTGATCACAGCATCAAACTGAATCGATTCAGACCAGCGATCTGTTTCCTTCAGCATCAGCCGCCTCACAAACTGTGGCACATGCAGCCAATAAATCATCTTGCAGTAGCTTCGATTTCACAGCCGCTAACGTCGGCCAACAAAATGAATATTCTTTAGACTCAAACCACATTTTCGTCCCCGCTGACCCTCCTGCACGCCGGGCACTTTGGGCTCATCTCCAAACTGCCTTCATTTTGTCTTTAATCTGTTTGTGTCCAAAACGTGTGCACCTCAGAGCGGCCGTCACGAGCTGGCTGCACTTGTCTCAGTGTTAACGGTGTTTTACAAAAAGAATCCAAAGGCTGCTTTGAGCCTTAACTTTGGGTTGTTTAGTCTGTTTACATAGTTTCTTTAGAAGGATAATAGTTGGACTGAAAACCCCAAAATTCAGGGTTTCCTTTCAAACATTACTAATTTAAACAAGTCTTTAAAAACTCAGCACATGATTCAACATGTTAGTGTCAATAGTGTAGCATCAAGAAATCTGTCAGTCAGCGTGAGGATGAGAAAATGTTTCCAAACCTCCTTTTTAGGACTTCGGCTCTGCTTGTGTTGACTTTAGGATCATGGATCTTTAAATACTGTAAAGCAAAAGCTGATGAAATGAAAACAGGCGGACCACATTACGTGAGTCTGAAGCTGTTCATAAAGCTCAGCACGCACACTGGACGAGCTTTTAAAATGTTTACCAGAATGAGGCTCTTTCCATTCAGCCATGTTTAGATATCATATACTCTGACAATCAGCCTGCGTGAGGGGAAATAATTGGGACCATGTTTTGAGTTCAGACGAGGACTGAAATCACCAAAAACACGTCACTTAAATTCTTCGACTCGCTCATCAGAGCGCGGCGGAAAACTGGAAAACAGACAGATTAATATTTCATATTGGGAAAACATGTTAGACCCAATCACAGCTGATCTCAGAGCAGTGAAGGAAGAATTTGAATCAGACTGGAAACACTGGAGCTTCATGATCTCAGTCAGCTGCAGAAAAACAATACGCCCCAAAATTACAAGAACTTTTATAAAATCACTCTTCCTCTCGTGCTCCTCATCATCACAACTTCTCAGTGAGCGTCTGTGATGTTCAGGAGGAATTTGCACACAGCGTCAGGCCCGCAGCCGTCTATCCGTCTATGGCGGCTTTTATCAGGCTGAGAGGATTTCTCTGAGCTGATCAACACGTGACCGCACGGAGGATTTCACATGGGACAACGTCATGTGCCGACAAAACTGCACACACACACACACACACACACACACACACAAATGAGCATCAAAGGGCACAGCATGATGACGTAACGTCTGCAGCAGGACGCTGTCTGAGGGTTTTTGAGATGATCCAGCGTGTGTGACATGAGAACAGTCCTGTTGGAGGTTTCATCATGACTGTGACAGGAGACGCTGTTTCAGAGGTTAATGGTTACTGGCCGTCGCTGGAGTCTGGAGCCTGAAATTTACTGGAGAAAACTAAGCGAAAAACAGTCATTAGCAGAATCTGGATGTCCTGTCTCCTGTTTGTCCTCCCACACTCTTTATTCTGTACATGTATGTTTCAATACATCAGTGTGCGCCATGTTGAAACAACCAGACACAAAGATTAACGAGTCATTGATTGATTGATTGATTGACTGATTCATTCATTCATTCATTCATTCATACATGTGCCTCTGATGTGTCCTGTGTAGTTTAGTTCTACAGCCGCTCTTTCCTGTGGGGTCCCTCAAGGCTGTATCTTAGGTCCCAGTCTCTTTTCGTTGTACATGCTTTCTCTCGGCCAAATTATCAGAAAATAAAACACTCCTGTGCTGACGACACACAGCTGTCTCACCCTCTAAAACCTGACGACACACAACTGTCTCACCCTGTAAAACCTGACAACAGGTCCAGTTTTGTCAGTCTTATATACGGCCTCAATGAGGTCAGATCAGAAGTTGTCATCTTCGTCCTCTCGGACGCCATCCGAGGGATTTCTGACCAGCTCAGCAGCCTCTCCAGCGATGTTCAACCCCATGTCTAAAATCTTGGCCTGATATTTGACTCCACCTTTAAGTTTGACAAACAAATAAATGCAGTAGTAAAAGCCAAAGCTGCAGAGAGTCACTCACACTTTGATCTCCTCCTGTTTAGACTACCGTAACTCTCTGTGTGCAGAATTCCCTCAGGAGTGTTAGTTGCTGCCCTCTGTGTGGCCAGCAGGAGGAGCCGTTGCCTGCATAGTTAGCTCAGTGCCACATGCTGCAGGCAGAGGAAGGAGTGAGGACATACGGTGTGCGCTCGTGACGGATGTAAGCACATCTTCTAAGTTATTTCCTTTCAGTTATTTATGCTTCACGTGTCCATCTTGTTGTTTTATGTTAGGAATATTGACATGGCTGGAGATAATTTCTTTGTGTTTAGCGAGCTAACGTTTCTGCTTGTTAGGGCCTGTTAAGCTAACCTACTGCCTTGGAATGATGTCAGAAGTGAAATGCAGCTAACTTATGTGACTGTTACACATTTATACAGTAGTGCTGTGTCTAAATGATAAATGTATGATTAATGTATCTGTGGAGTACATTAAGTTATTATTTAGTTAAGTTTAGTAAATTACAGACATTTATGAAACCATACATGGTTTTGTGTATATATATGTATATTTCTGTTTGTATTTCAGAGACCACACATACGCATATGTCCATGTACCTTTGTACCCTTCTCTGAAGTGCCTACATAAAGCTAACAAACCGCTCTCTGCCTTTGTGTCAACTCCTTAATCAGAGTCCCACTGTGGATGAATGCCCAGCTACCACATCACGTGTTAACACACAGTTTAAGGAGTATATTTCCAATACTCTGTACACTGGTATCAGTCAGTCCTCTCTGCCCCGCCTCCAGCTGGGTCAGAAGGCTGCTGCTAGACGCCTCACAGGTACCTGGAGGAGAGACACACCTGTCTTAGCCTCTGTGCACTTTTAGATACAA